GCCCGCCACCACGCCCGGCTAATTTTTTTTTGCGTTTTTAGTAGAGGCGGGGTTTCACTGTGTTAGTCAGGATGGTCTCAATCTTCTGACCTCGTGATCCGCCTGCCTCGGCCTCCCAAAGTGCTGGAATTACAGGCGTGAGCCACCGCGCCCGGCCTATGTTGGTAGTCTTAACACCATAAAGAACATATTTTAAAAATGTAGGAACAAATTGGGAAGGCCTCACTCTCTTCGCTCAGCCTACCATACCTCTCTGGAAATTTTTTTCATCTTTTACCTAAACAAATGCTTTTTAAAAATGTAAACACAATTATTATTCATGTGTCTCTGAAAGAGCTAATTAAAGTAACCTATTAAGATACTAAATAATAAAAGTAAATTATTGTCAGAGTTTTAATATAGGCCTGGGCATCCGGCCCTAAAAAGTTTCACTTAAAAAACTTAAGCATTCTGATTTTTTTATTTATCAACGTACCCTTGTGCTTGAAATTATTTTTATACTTTCTATTTTTAAAAAAGGTTTTGTTGCCCACTCTCCCCACCACCACCAGCTTCCCGACTTTTGCAAAAGTGAGGGAAGTTGAGATTTTAAAAATAGTAGATATTATGCTTAACCGGTGTTATGAGTTAATGATAGCAGAATAGTGAAATACTGAATGTTGTAGATGTTTAGGCTCTTAAAAAAGCCTGTCCAGTAAGTTGTGGGAGAATAAAATTTTAGGTTGCAATTTGAATAAGTTTAAATGCTACATTTTATGATATGGAAACTAAATTTTATTTGGGAAATTAAAAGCGTAACTTGTTATTTCAGAAACGCCATCATTTTTGCGGCCTCTGTTGGACCGAACGGTAACCAAGGGAGAAACGGCCGTCCTACAGTGCATTGCTGGAGGAAGCCCTCCCCCCAGATTGAACTGGACCAAAGATGATAGCCCTTTGGTGGTAACCGAGAGGCACTTTTTTGCAGCAGGCAATCAGCTTCTGATTATCGTGGACTCAGATGTCAGTGATGCTGGGAAATACACATGTGAGATGTCTAATACCCTTGGCACTGAGAGAGGAAACGTGCGCCTCAGTGTGATCCCCACTCCGACCTGCGACTCCCCTCAGATGACTGCCCCATCGTTAGACGATGACGGATGGGCCACTGTGGGTGTCGTGATCATAGCCGTGGTTTGCTGTGTGGTGGGCACGTCGCTCGTGTGGGTGGTCATCATATACCACACAAGGCGGAGGAATGAAGATTGCAGCATTACCAACACAGGTGTGTAAACAGAAGCTTGGCACAGGTCACGGGAGTCATGTGTATTTGTGGTTCTGCAAATACTTCTAGAACGTGTGTCTTGCAGTCTGAGTTCATCTCAGAAGGGTAACTCATTTTTTTCAAGCTGCGGAAATATGGTTCGCTAAAAATAACACTCCAGCCCCAAATAAAGCTGATGTTTAAAGATTAATACTCTTTGTTAAAATGACATCAGAATATCCTGTGACTATGAGATAAAATCCAAGTCACTAACTAAAATATTTCTAACTCCTTCATAAGGTAGTGATGGAGAACCAGAAACAGCCCTTTAATGATGAAGTTTACTTTCTGCAGTAGTTGTGTGTCTTGTGTATGTGTGTGTGCATGTACTTAGGTTGGATTTTATTAGTGGAAGAGGGGCTGTGACTTGATTAGTATGTGCAAAGTCAGATATTGATTGATAATATTAAGCAGAGAATATGGCAATAATCAAGCTTAATTTGAAAGCTTAGATACTGTCCCATGAAAATTCTTAAGCCTTCAGCCTTTTAAAAAATCTTTTTAAACATTTGTTGTTTTGAAATTTGGGAGGTGCATCCAACGGGTGATAAAATGAAAAGTCAGCTTGTACTTCCCGGAGCAACAAAGTCCTAATTTACCATTCCAGAATACTGTACAATCGAGATGGTTTTGCCACAGTAGATCCCCCCTAATTTGATGTACACAGAAGCCAAAATTAAGTCTATGCCATTCCCCTGGGATACCTATGGGACAATTACGATCATTCTTGGTTAATAAAATGCTGCTGTTTTATTACAGATGAGACCAACTTGCCAGCAGATATTCCTAGTTATTTGTCATCTCAGGGAACGTTAGCTGACAGGCAGGATGGGTACGTGTCTTCAGAAAGTGGAAGCCACCACCAGTTTGTCACATCTTCAGGTGCTGGATTTTTCTTACCACAACATGACAGTAGTGGTAAGTGTTTAAAATGAACGTGGGCTGTAATTGTTTTGAAGTCAAATGGTGGAAGACTCAGATATGATATTCATTTTCACAAGATATTGATAACACTGACATTTAGGACCTGGCCCAAGATCACTAGCAAAGTTGAAATTGTATAGTTCTATACCCTTCTCTTAAATACTAGGAAACAAAATAAATTTTTGTTTCTAACAATAAAAACAGACTAGTGGGTTTAGAAAAATGTAATTATTCCACGTGTAAAGGATGTTCGTATATTCTTTATGTTATAAATGTTCTTTGGCCCTGAACGTTCTCCTTCCTTAAATGATATTAACTGGTTACATGAATGGGCTTAACAGTCAAATGGTTTACATTATTTTCTTTTGAGAAGTCTATTTTTTGTTTATTTATTTTTATTTATTTATTTTGAGACGAAGTCTCACTCTGTCACCCAGGTTGGGATGCAGTGGCGTGGTCTCGGCTCACTGCAGCCTCCACCTCCTGGGTTCAAGAGATCCTTCTGCCTCAGCTTCCCAAGTAACTGGGACTATAGCCATGTGCCACCATGCCTGGCTGATGCTTTCTTTTGTTTTGTATTTTTAGTAGAGACGGGGTTTTGCCATGTTGGCCAGGCTAATCTGGAACTCCTGACCTCAGGTGATCTGCCCACCTCAGCCTCCCAAAGTACTGGGATTACAGGCGTGAGCCACCGCGCCCAGCCTCTTTGAGAAGTCTAATTCTGACCCTTGCTTTCAATGCTGCATGGTTTTGAGAATAATAATGGAGACAGCATAATACAAGAGCACAGGTTTTGTACAAGACCGACTCCTACTACTTACTCCATGTACTGTGGGGCATGTGGAGTACTTTCTGGTGAGGTACTTGTGCAAATGAAATGAAAATGGAAAACTATGTGGTGCTAGGCACATATTAAGGGCTCAGCAAGTGGAAGCCATCGATGTTATTCTAACATATATGTTAAACCAACTTTTCCCATAAGTATTTATTATACGCTCTGTGCTAGACATTGTAGTTGGGAGAGAAGTATATTTGTTTTCAATTTCACAGTTTCATCAGAGATGAGATAAATTAAAAGTGCTTGGCAAGTCACAGATAGCATAGAGTTAGAGGATCTGAGCATAGAAGTGAGTATTCTGGTTTAAAATTTTTAAACCCCACTGTAAATTTTTGCAGTTTTTTGGTCTATGTGATGTTCTAGTCAAACTTTCATCCATAAATATGGAAAATGCCAAAATTGGGGAGAATGTTGAATGGCACTTGAATAATTGGATCAGTGACTAAGACTTTTGTTTCAAAGGGACCTGCCATATTGACAACAGCAGTGAAGCTGACGTGGAAGCTGCCACAGACCCGTTCCTTTGTCCCTTTTTGGGATCTACAGGCCCTGTGTATTTGAAGGGAAATCTGTATGGCTCAGATCCTTTTGAAACGTATCATACAGGTAGGTAAATTTTCTTGCCTGAGTACAGTTCTGTTTCTTAGAGACTTCTAGGTGTGCTAACCATAATCTCCTTCTGTTATTACCCCCAAATTAAAAAGGTTGCAGTCCTGATCCAAGAACAGCTTTAATGGACCACTATGAGCCCAGGTACATAAGGAAAAAGGAGTGCTACCCATGTTCTCATCCTTCAGAAGAATCCTGCGAACGGAGCTTCAGTGATATAGCATGGCCCTCACATGTGAGGAAGCTACTTAACACTAGTTACTCTCAAAATGAAGGACCCGGAATGAAAAATCTGTGTCCAAACAAGTCCTCTTTAGATTTTAGCACAAATCCAGAGCCAGCGTCAGTTGCCTTGAGTAATTCTTTCATGGGTAAGTTTATTAAGTTATCAGGTACCTCGTCTGAGGATCCATACTCCAAGTTGTATGTGAGAGAGCAATGAGAGCCTTGAATGTCAAACTGGTAAAAAATGGTTTCTTGAATGAGGCTGCCATGACATCCGACTAAGTCATGTAAATGCCTCTAAAAGCAAAGTCAGAGGTGGGATTTTACTTGATGATGTGTTTAATCTGTAACTAAGCCTCAGGAGCTTTCTGGGTAGCACTGTGTGTGGCATCTACTCCAAGACAAGGGTTTGGGGAGGACTTAGGAGCTCAGCTTGTCAGCCATGTGGAAAAAGTGGTTTTGGGCTCCCACGGCCTTTGGGGTGGAGTTGTGTGCTCTGCATGATTGTGGTTTAGTATGTCTGGTGGCTTCCAAGTGAACCCGCAGTCGAAGGGTGGAAAACAGCATCCTACCTAGCAACAACTGTTAGTCTGACAAGCTGGACTACCTTTGGCAAAGAAAACCAGCCTTAAGGTCCAAGTCAGTGGTGTTAGATGCTGGCTGGCACTGAGATTAGCTTGTGAATTTTTTCGTCTGATGCATGGGGATAATAGGATGGAAGAGCTGAGGTCATCTTTTCACTGAACGGAGAGATGGGAAAATCAGCCACAACTTGCCATGTTGACAATAAAAAAAGGGAGAATTTTCAAATATTTTACCCAACTTCTATGAAATGTTATGTTTTATCACAGTGTAATTATTTATATTCCTTTCTGGAAAAAATTAAAATAATATGTTTTGTATGACTGAGGCAAGAATTTGATTCAATTGAGTAATATTTTGCTACAGTTAATGAAGCAAGGGCAGGACATAGGTTTATTTTGAAAGAAAATTTGTATATTTAGCTCCAGTTAATTGGATGTTACTGTCCAACGCATCCTTCACCGAAATTGGTGGGCTCTCAGCTAGGATATGGGGAAACTTATATTGGGGAGCTTTATTGCATGACCATTAACATCACTGCAGGTCACAAGAAATGATAAATAAGAGATGCATTTGTTCAGTGAATGTAAATATGAGGGAGGGCAAATGTCTTTTGCTCCATTCTAGAAGTGATCTGTCTGTAACACAGATGTACATGTATGAGTGCCACAATGTGGACTTGTAGAAAACACTTACTCATATTCATGGGGTAAGATGTTTCTTCATTTGCAATGGGTTTTATTGATTCATATGCTAGCAAAGGGACCCCTGTGCTCAAGGTGTTTCTTTCTTTCAGGTACATTTGGAAAAGCTCTCAGGAGACCTCACCTAGATGCCTATTCAAGCTTTGGACAGCCATCAGATTGTCAGCCAAGAGCCTTTTATTTGAAAGCTCATTCTTCCCCAGACTTGGACTCTGGGTCAGAGGAAGATGGGAAAGAAAGGACAGATTTTCAGGAAGACAATCACATTTGTACCTTTAAACAGACTTTAGAGAACTACAGGACTCCAAATTTTCAGTCGTATGACTTGGACACATAGACTGAATGAAAGGAAAAGCTTAACATACTACCTCAAGTGAACTTTTATTTAAAAGAGAGAGAATCTTATGTTTTTTAAATGGAGTTATGAATTTTAAAAGGATAAAAATGCTTTATTTATACAGATGAACCAAAATTACAAAAAGTTATGAAAATTTTTATACTGGGAATGATGCTCATATAAGAATACCTTTTTAAACTATTTTATAACTTTTTTTAATGCAAAAAAGTATCTTACATAAATTAATGCTATAAATCATGATTATTTTATGTATTTTTATAATGCCAGATTTCTTTTTATTGAAAATGAGTTACTAAAGCATTTTAAATAATATCTGCCTTGTACCGTTTTTTTAAATAGAAATTACTTCATTATGTTTTGCACATTATATTTAATAAAATGTGTCAATTTGATGCCAAGCCCCATTTATACAATAACAGTTTTTATTATTTTCAGCACAACTTAGGCTTAATTAGTTCACATTATGACGTCTCAAACTGATGGGAATTTTATTTTAGCCCGTTAAAGTACGAACAAAAATGACCGTTCTTTCTACCTGCCAGGATTGTTGTAATACAGATTGAAATCAGATTGTGCATATGCAAGCACAATTGTAAACGAGAAGGAGCTACAGAGATTTAAGGTACATTAATTTATTTCTAAACCTATGAACAAAAAAAGATTTGTTGTTATAATCTGGTGTAATATAGTACAACTACCATTCCATCAATCACTGCTCAATTCATGATTCTTTAATTATAATAATGGTTTACATGGTCCAATGCCTTATGCTTATCAAGTAGTTTCACTTTTGCCGCCCCTTTTCTTACAACAAGCGAGTGGTTTATTGCACATGTCTATAGCTAAAATGGCTATTGCAGAGGTGGACTTTCATGCGCTGTTCCAGGTTATAATGAGATGCTGCTAGAATTGTTTTCTGTTTTTATTGATTTTCTGCTGGAAGAGCAGTTTGTATATAAATGGTACTTCTAAGCTAGTCTTGAACAATTACCGAAATATTTTCTTTGATCATCAAGGTTTGGTTAAAAACTAAGTATAAAATTTGTTACTTAAGCATATAAAACTATTTAAAACATTTGTTTTAAAACAGTATTTGTAATTACATGACAGGCATATATACACAGAAAAATGAATATAACAATAGTTTCAAAACTAGATGACACAATTCAAAATAATTGAATGGAAAAGCAATTCAGTTTAATTCAGATTATCAAACTTTCTTCTTTAGTAAATTCTAGCTCATATGTGTAGTTTAAAGAAAAACCCTCTTGCTCAATATAAATTGGCACAAAAGGAGCACAATAAGCTTTAAAAATCAGCTAACCTTCAAGGTGTGAATTTATGCCATTGTCTTGTCTTTGAACTAAACTGAAAGCAGCTATTCAAAAAGCGGATTCTTCTTAGAGAATATGTCGAGGGTAAAGTCTTCCAGCTTTTAGTAAGTTTTGAGCTTTGTTGCTTGTGAGCCAGAAGCCTGGAACCCAGATTGCAGTCGATTTTCCTGCTTTAATTTAGACGCCAGAGTCAAGAGTCCAAGACAGGAAGTTGATCCTTCCTTGGGCCACCAGTGACTAAGTACAGAGAAGTAATTTGGTATACTTTGGCTTGATCATATTGCCAGATTTTCAAAATTTTATTGTTAATTTGTCTTCATTATTGCCAGATGGGGCCTTTTTCAGTTATTATGAACTTCTTTTAAAGGATTTAATTTTTCCATACTTCAGCACAAAGGTTTAAATCATTAATGCTTGAAATTCAAAAATTAGATTCACTCTACATCAATATGATTTTACCCTTTTACTGTGTGTATGTGCTGAAATGTGTGAATTAGATGTAATCTTAACTGTCTGGAGAAAGAGTAGGAACTTGATTTCTCTTTCACAATTTGCAGGAAAAGAATATATACAATTTTGAGACTCCATATTAAATTAAAATGAATTAGTAGGTGGTACGATAGCCTAAAATAACATAGACTCAATGTAAAAAGCCTAATGTAGATAAATGTCACATTGCTTGGAGGAATGCTTAAAAATTCCAGTTTAATCATCCTATGCTTTTTGATATGAGTTTATGTACAATATATCTTAAAAGATGTTCACAAAATTTCTGTATTGTTTTTATCTTAATTCCACTATTGGCACTAATTGTAGGATATTGGGGAAGAAAAGCATTCCTTTGTTCTGACAAAATTTTATGAAAGTTAAGTATCTGGAATATATATAATTTATTTTCACAGCCTTTCTACAAAAAGAAACCAAAAGTTATTGGTCACAATAGAGCCATACTACTTTTTAAAGATTGACAGAAGAAAAGAAAGTGGTTTGGTGTTTGTACACAACTTGGGAGGCTTTATTTCTTTCAATTCAATGTGATAGGAAGTAATTTATACCCAATATTATGATAGATGTGCTATACTGGTATTCTTCAAGAGAGTGGGAACCACATGTCCTTGCAAAATACCTGAGCTGTCCTTCCCACTCTTGCAATCTGAAGTGATCAGATTTATGTAATAGGATAATTTAGAACTCATCGTTTAAGACAGCATTCTATTAACACATTGGATAACACAATACCCTGCCAAGAAAACAGTTAGTCTTCAAAGAGAGGTACAGTTTCTTCATGAATTGAATAATTTTCATACTCCAGAAATATCTAGGTGCCAGAACTTAACCTTTTTCATGGAGCATTTCTTAAACAAATGTGTAATAGGAAAGTCCTGAAATAATTATCTTGCTTGGTCTCAAATGTGAGCTAAAATGGCACAGAAGTATTTTCATTGGTATTTTATTTTAGTAGAGAAGCGGTTTTGCCCACATATTTTCTGAATTATCTCAATAACTTGGGCCATTTGGTTTTTTTGTTGTTGAAAAATCTGTTACTGAATGGGATGTCTTTTGACAAAGAAATTCTATTTTACTCAAGGTATATTATTAAGATAAAACATGAAAGTCTATGTTGTAGGCCGCGGTGGCTCAAGCCTATAATCCCAGCACTTTGGGAGGCGGAGACGGGCGGATCACGAGGTCAGGAGATCGAGACCATCCTGGCTAACACATTGAAACCCCGTCTCTACTAAAAAATACAAAAAACTAGCCGGGCGAGGTGGCGGGCGCCTGTAGTCCCAGCTACTCGGGAGGCTGAGGCAGGAGAATGGCGTAAACCTGGGAGGCGGACCTTGCAGTGAGCTGAGATCCGGCCACTGTACTCCAGCCTGAGCAACAGAGCCAGACTCTGTCTCAAAAAAAAAAAAAAAGTCTATATTGTAGATTAAAATGTGCATAATTTATCAAGTTCATTCTCACTATTGTAAAAATTACAAGTTCATTTTTCATTCCTATTTTTTTTAGTGTCAGATCTGGATTCCATATCTGCCTATGTGATGGTTGATACCCGTGAATACCAGAAAAGTTAAACCAACATTCACATGTAGCTTTTAATTAAAATTACATGTTTTAATTAAAGACATTTTAAGAATACATTTTAAAGAATACAAAAAGGGAATTCACAACCATACAATTCTTGCTTTTCTTCTATAATTTTTTTGTATACCTTTGTTGGGTTTCATGTTGAACTTTGGCTTCTATTTTACAAGTTTAACCTTTTTCTTAACTCTTTTTTTCTTCAGTACAACACCTAATACTTTTATGAGGTTATTCTAGTTGTTTTGGTGGTTATTTTGAGATTACTTCCTATAGCTTTGTTTTGATCTAACTACAGCTCAGAGTTGAAATTTGGTAACAATACACTCAGTTTTCAAACATTTCTTATGCTCTGGTGATGTGAAAAATGAATAAAATCTTATTCTAATTATCAGTGGGACGGGAAACAGGTTCATGAATAAATACTTACTATTGATGTGTTAAATGCTATAGCTCAGTAGGCCCTTGTAACTGGCAGTGATTGTCTCCAAATGTTTACTTTCTAACTACTACCTGGAAGTGTTACATGGGCCTCACCAGCATGTCCCAGGTTAAGCCAATTATCTCTTTTCTCCACCTGCATTCCACAGCAGTTCCAGTTCTGGTACTGTCTTGTTTAATCACTGTAATCACCATGCCTGATGGTTTTGCTCCTGAGTTTTCTCAAGGCTGATGATACCTTCCCGCTTATCCCATTGCCGCAGCTGAAGTTCAGCCCCTTTGTAGCAGTGTTTTAACTCATCTTCTCCTCCCTTGTTTTATCTAATCCATTGTCTTTGCTGTCACCAGAAATACTTTTTTTTCTAAAGTAAATCTGAATGGGTCGCCTCCCTGTTTGAAAACCTTCGATGACTAATTTTAAATCCTAGTTATGTCATATAAGACCTTTCGTACACATCCCTGCTCACCCTTCAAGCCATGCTTCTCATCACTCCCGAATGTTTTGACCATACAGTACTCCTTATCCACCCCTATGCACTGTGTCCTTTTATAAACTAAACATCATTGTACATATTTCATATTGAGTTCTGCAAACATTTGAATGGCTACTGTGCTAGGTGCTATCTTAGATGCTATAGATACCGTAACGTTACTAAGACAAATATTATCTCAAGAAAGTGCTAGATAAACAACAAAACTTTTGTCCTGAAATGTTTTTTCTTCTTTCTCACTTGGCAGAATTCAGTTCTTCCAAGACAAAGCTTTTGCTTTTACCCCAAGCATAATAGCTGTTTTCCCATAGAACCCTGTGAACCATCTGATAAAATCACAGAGAAGCAGCTATTACTAAGCCAGCTGTGATGTCATTGTATAAAATACTAAAACAGTTAACCTCTGTGTTAATCAGATACTTTCTAGGAAGAAATGAAGTGAAAAGATCTGTTTTTGACAATCGCCAGGTGATGTGGTCTAGCACTTAGCCGTGTAATCACATGATGAATTAGATGATGTGTGGGCACTTAGCAGGAAGTCAACTTGTGCAGTTTACTAAAGGTAAACAGGTGGCCACGTGCATCAAGAGATGTTTTTCTTTTCTGTGGAACACTGAGTGGCTCCAAGTTAAAAAGTATGGGGTTTATGGGGGAACTATAGGGATGTAGCTGGAGTGAGAAGTTGCCGTCCCTCTTTTGTCCTCAACTATAAATTTGATTGTGAGAATCCTATAATGCAATATCCATCTTCCCTTAACCTTGCCTCTATGTTATCCCCTCTCTTATTTTTCTCATTCAAACGTCTCAAAATCTTAGTTCTTTTTCAGCCTGGGAAGATCAAAATTTGTTCATGTTCAATTGAAATTGCTTTTGCCAAGATCGCCAGTTTTTCTAACTTCCACACTTGACCATATGTTTACAGTTTTTATTTTACTGGACTAATACATTGTTGTAGCACCTTAATGAAACTCTACATTTTCCTAGTCCTACTTACCTTGCTGGTCATTTTCCTTGGTCTCTTTCATTACTGCATCTCTCATGGCCCAC